CGAAACTAGATGATTTTGCTTTGATCTGATCACTTAAATTCGCGGCTAAATCAGTAACTCCTTCTGCAACTGTATTTCGAGACAATGAAATTGATTGAAAAGCCTTCACATTTCCAGGACAAACAATTTCTCCAGCTTTCATTAGGCATTCCTTGATGAAATCACAGTCAGTAAAAGGCTTCGAATGTTTAACTGTCAACTTGGACAAGACGTAGCTTGCATGTACCGCCGCTTCACTTTCTTGCAATACTTTACTAAACATGGACTGTTGCTTTTTCACTCCTAACTTGAGCTCTTTCAACTTTTCTTCTCTCATTAATCCTTCGTAATTGTTATATTTCGATTTGTGTTGTTCGTAATGACGTTTAATATTGTATAACTTTGGTACATTAATAGTATTATTATATATCAAGCAGATTATTTTATCTTTTATTTCACAGCAAAAATATTCTAATTCCCATTTTACTTGGAATATTCTATGTTCGTCAGCGATTTTTCGTTTAATTTTACTACCACTTGGTTTTGATATAGACATACTGAATACAAAGGGCTGGAATAAACACTGTTAACATTAAAAAGTTAACAAAAATTTATTCTTTCCACAAGAGATAAATCAAAATGCTGAAATATTTCTTCAAAAATATTCTAACAATATTGCAAAATGTCAAACGTTTAGCAAAAATCAATTCAAAACAGAGAAACTAATTCTATCTCGCAGTGAAATCGCTACAAATCAATCACAGCATTAAGTGAACAAACAGTTCGCTAGAACTACAGCTACTACCTGAGATGAGTTGTTTGTTCTCGGCTTTTATAAGCTGTATAATTAATTTCACGAATATACTGGAAATATCTATAAATATCTTTATTTTTGTGGATGGCAACAGCAATTACGAGATATTTATTTGTTAGGTATTAAATGCACGCGCTGTTCTATTTTTAACCTACCAACGCAGCTGTCTTTTCAAAAATCGCCTGCGTTGCTAAGGCAACATGAAGCAAATCTAATTACAATTCTAAATAAAAAAAAACTAAATAAATAAATAACTATGATATCCGTAACAGTATGAATTAAGTAATAATTAATAATAAAGCAAAGTGCATGCACATGTATGCACCAATATATCGTACAAAACTATGATTGGAAAACTGAGACCATGAGTTCGGCCACATTCGGCTATCGGGGAATGCGTACAAGTTCTGAGTGCACGTGTCCCCCAAAAGCCGAAGGTAGCTGAACGCAAGCTACTCACACGCATTTGTAATTTAAGTAGTGTGTGTGTCAGCTCGCTGTGAGTAATCTAACAACACTGAATAAATTATCGTTAATTACTTAGCAGTAAACATTTCATTTTTTTATTCGTCGATATGTTATTCTATTATTATATATTATTATATGCCGATATATTGGCCGGGCCGCAAAAATATTTGTTGTGGGCCGCAAGTTTGACATCCTTGATTTACAGGTTATGATGCTATATGCTGCATTTTTCTTTCTTTCAGAGGTGCACCCTTTAATTTCAGTACGATTAGTTGAAAAGGGAGGTGTACTAATTCTTTGAAAACATTGTGTTAAAACATATCTTAATAAATATTTTTTTATTTTAATAAATTTCATTCTACTGTCAAGAATTATACTTATTTCTTGCAGAAATGTTTTTCATTACTTCCTGCTGAATCAGTATTAGAATACAATTCTTTTGAGCCATTGATATTTTCATATACATATCAAAATCTTACTTCAAATTTAGAATTCATATATCATTTGATTTCAGTACCATTAACAGAAAAAAATATGTGCAAAACTAAATTTTTCCAAACTGAATATTAAAGCCTATCTAAAAAACATTTTCTGACATTATTCAATATAGTAACAGCAGTATTTCTCCATAGATATATTGTAGAGACATTAGGTATTTTTTGGAAAGCAGATGATGTGAAAAATTAGCAATGCGCTCGCCAGGAATCAAACCACGGACCTCTCGAATATGCACCGAGCATGCTGACCACTACACCACGGAGGCATGCTAAGAAGGCAGGAGAAATGCCTCATATATTCTCTCTTTTAAAGGGCTACTGGGGATTAGGTGATCCATTCGCCAAATCTTGGTGGTGGAGAATGAGAATCATCATTCAACACATTTTTAGTTTGTGCACTAATGTAGATACACATATTTTTTGGAAAGCAGGAGACATGAAAAATGAAAAATGCCCTTGTCGGGAATCAAACTACGGACCTCTTGGATACGCAGTAAGCGTGTTGACCACTGCACCACGAAGGCATGCTAAGAAGGCGGGAGAAATACGTTATAATTCCTTTCTTTCTTCTGAATTGATACCAGAGTATGATTTTTCTGAATCAATGGTCCTACATATTAAGACCTTTACACTAGAATGGCGGCATGCCGCAAACATGAAATTTGCATAACAGAACATGCTCTGATACTCAAATCATCAGATATTCAGCACACTCATGCAAAGCAGGCAGCAGTAGCTGCAAGTAAAATACGCATAAAATGAGAGATTTGAAAGTACTTTTCTCATACTCAGTTCGCATTTGAATGTTGTTAACGAACTGGTATTGTGGTTTATCATGTTGCATCTCACATTGGTTAAATCCCATGACTCTGATGGTTCAGGGTAGTCATATAGAATGTTGTGCAGGATCTCAGTAGCCCCCCTCATTAACAGCAGAGAAGACAGACAACATATCCGCATAGCCACAAGGTAATTGTACAGCCACCTCATGAACCCTGAGTGGAATAATGGAGTCGTTTGCAAGGCAGCAGGTTTCTGCTCAAACATTTTAGTGACATTTGCAGCAATATGGACTGTCAGCACGGCGACCGTGGCTTTGGCTACTGTTGATACTGCATCAGATACAGGAGTGCCTTCAATGATGTAATCATTAATGATCTTGGACATCAGCATGACATTGTGTCATCTTTAGAGATGAATCCTTGTTCTGTGTAAAGTACCATGGTAGCTGCATCCGTGTTTGGTGGTATCGTGAATGCACGCTGCCAGCTTTGATTGGACATTGTTATATGAGCTGGTCAGCATGAGTGTTAGTATAGGGTGCCACTGGATAGACCTCTCAATCACCTGTTGGCATTCTTGGCACTTTGAGCAGCAGCCATTACATTTCTGATATGTAAAGGCCTGTGGCTTTGCCCTATCTTCAAAGCCTCCCTTACACTTTGTTTCAACAAGATAATACATGACTGCATGTTGCCTGCACTCTCCTGACCTTCCTCAATACAGAAGATGCCTGGCTGTTATCCTGGCCAGCACATTTTCTTGATCTGTTACCAACTGAAAATGTGTGGTCAATAGTTGCCAAGTGTTTGGCACACCACCACTCCACCAAAGGACTGGACCTGTGTCATCCATAGCTTACAACCCCAAATAATCCTCTAAGTTCATAAAATGCAACAATAAGAATATCTACTCTCACTCTCATACTATACAGGAGTGGCTTTAGAAAACACACTTAAATATATCCATTTATTGAGGCAACCGTAACTTCTCATACTACGAACTATGAACTACTTCATACTGTGCAATGTGTGACAGATGCACCAGTACTACATACTCAACACTATGTACCATGAAATGAATTCATAAACTGTATGCTGTACTATGAACTGCACTATGAATGAGAACTTATAAACTGCGAATCGTGTAACCAAAAAGACCAAACAAACAACGAACCACATACCATAAACACTCCCTCCCCCCCGGCCAACAAAGCTCCAAACCGAAACACAAAAGAAATATGTATATACATCTGTAAATAACTTATTATAATTATTGTATCTATCCATCCAACTGCAAAGTACCCGTGTAAAGTATATCTGAGACAATATTGTCTGTAATGGCAAATTATGCATCATTAATATATAACTGTGCATTTTGAATGCTGCAATGTAAACTAATTCCGGAGCATGGTGTTAGCGTGCCCAGTCAGGGTACACTTCTATAGATGGTTAGTGTACTGGGGCGATACCAGTTTTGCCCATGGCGATGTTTTGGTGCCTCCTGTACTTCTTTCTGTTTGTCTATTGTTGATGGACTATTATAGCATATTGTTGAAGCTGTTTAGACTGCAGTCCCCATATATGCCATACAATCTTTGTGTGACTCCATCCCCAGGCAGAGAAATGCTGTTTTTGCTGACAGAGCTTGCTGCTGTGTACTGATTTCTCAGGATCCTATACATATTAATTTCCTGTAAATTTAATCACTTGTTTTTTCCACTATGTATCCAAAAAATATTCTGTTATTTGAATACATTCCTGGTGTTGCAGTTTTAAAGGCCAATATTGTAGTATATACAATCTTACTTCTGAACCAACTTCATTATTCTATACCGAAATTACATAATTCCCCAATACTCATTAATATCCATTTTCCTGTGTTTTTATAAAGAAAAAATTATCATGAAAGCTTATAGATTACTCTTGGGGCATTCATAAAGTCTTGAGCCATAAACCTGGGCAATTAATAGGCCTCTGAGCTGTATGTCTAAAGCTGTATAAATAAGCAATGCGTCTGTCTAAATAGACATTTTACTGGATTCTGTGTGATTTTGACGTGTGTGTACTTTTGTGAAGTTCCCACAGCAATGTTAGGTGTACTCATGCTAAAGTATTTGCATTCTGTTATGGCAAAGGACACAGTTTAGGAGTTGGTACTTATATAAAGGTTTATTGTGTTAAATCTTCATAGCAGCTGCAGATGAAATAATCTTGTTAACTGAAATAATGCATACTTTGAGCTAAGCACAGTTAATAATAATAAAGGCTGGGAAATTTTAATCTTCTGCTTTCCGATCTAGGTATATTTTTATATAACTGTGTATAATTAGCAGATGAATCAAAATAAAGAATACTGCAAATTTTGTTTGTTATTTAAGTTGTATTAGTTGCTCTTAAATTTGCATCATTTTTCTGCTGTAATTATACTAATAATATTTCATACATTTTTTCTCACTTTAGAACCTCTCTCTGGGTATCAGTTCACTTTCTGCTTTTGGTCCATTTGGAGCAGCTGTAGAAATCATTCTTATTTTGTATCCTTTTAAAGCATTACTATTTTAATTTCACTACTTTGTTTCAGAATACTTGGTTTAAAAATGTGTTTTGAACCATCAGATTGAGATAAATGTAGCATTTTTATTATTAATTTGCTATAAAGCTTAAGCATTGCTCTCTTTTGTAATGCTTGATCTGAATTTTTAATAAATAATGTTATCATAGGTGTAATGCAGGTTATAACAGAATTTTAAGCTGTGTTCAGTTTGTTCCAGTAGTTCATCTACTCCCCTAAACCATATTTCATTTTTGCATGAAATTAAAATCTTGTAGGAATATTAATTTGCTGCTTCGAAGTTCTTTGAGTACTGTTTGAAATGAATTCTTATGTAAAGATCAGGATACAAATTTGGTTATGCGTTAAAGCAGATGTTTTATGAAATATCATTAATGAAATGCATAATCTTTAAAATTTGTACATTTACTTAGTCATCATCATATGTTCCAGAATTCACTATTATTTGTCACACAGCTCATTTACAACTGCTTGGAACAAAATAAAACATTACAAGTACCATTTCAAGAAAAGTTGAGTTTTAATATTTGCAATTTTACTTTTTCAACTCATTTCGTTATAAAGTAATATTCTTCTTCAGGACTTGTTTCTCTCTCTCTCTCTCTTTTTTTTTTTTTTTTTTTTTTTTTTTTTTTTTTTTTTTGGTCACTGGTGTTCTTCTTAATATTCTAGTTATCTGCATTATTATCAGTCTCATGTAAAGCAGTCAGAAGTTTTTAGTGCAAATTTATACTGTTCAACAAAATATGGAATGGTATAATATGCCAAAAAATGGTCGTGGAATAAATGAATTTTTCCTCTTGAAAGTACTAGGTATGAAACTGTGGCATGAAAAATAAAACAAATGTTTTAAAAACTCTATTCATAGTTACCAACTTTAGAAAACAATTTATGCATATTGTATTTTGTGGTTGGGAGAAATAATGGAAACAATCTAATGGAGTCTATCTCAAAGGCAATCTGTTATCTCTGTGGAAAATCGTAACACATTTATGTAGTCTTGGTAAAAGGAGGTCATATAGCAGTTTGTATGATATCTTATTCACTTTTGAAGCACATGCTCTTGCTCATTAGAACTGCATGGGTATGAGTGATGGCCAGCTTTCATCATTCCTCAAGTGTGTTCAGTTACATTAAATAAGCAAGCTGGTTAATTGAGCTGTTTTGATTTCCAGTATATCTATATTTGCTTTTTGTGTGTGCATTCTTGCTGCAATAAGGAGGAAGTATGATCACAGTTACTCTTATGTCTTGTCTAATCAGAATTTTTCACCATCAGATGGAGCCCATTCTTTTAAAGGGAATGAATAATTTGTAATTTGTGCTGGGTGAGAACTCTGTATTATTATTATTATTGTTATTTTTGCTTTGAATTTTGAACAAATATAGAAATTTGAGAAATTAGCTCATCTACAAACATTAGAAAGTAAGAAAGAAACAAATACTCATATACAAAAGTAAGAAAGGATATAACAGTATGTAAAATACAAATATTTACAATCATATGTATGTATTCATTATGTAAGGCAAAACTGCATTATGCATGGATGGAATATATTAAAAAATTATTTGTAGGAAAAAATTCTGAAAATTTTTGTTTTATGTTTTTGTAAAATTTGATCTTAGTTAATTGAGTGGTTTCTATGGTATAATTTATTGGAGCTTTTAATTCACTGCCTCAGTGTATCCTTACTAATGTGTTTTCAATCCTTGAAAACATAAATTTTGAAGGCACTTTTCTATCTTACTATTCCTCATTCTTGACTTCATTAGATTGTAAAATTTCTGCACATTTTGCACTGTTTGCATGTTAGTCTGAGATAATTTTACATGTAATCTTAAGCAACAACCATGTAATACTTAAAAACTCTGGTACCTTCAGCTGCATTGGGATCAGGAATGCTGTATTTTTTCCCCTTTGAGATATTTGTTGCTTCAATGTTTTTCTGTTACCATGGCTTTAAGTTTTCCGTTATTCCTGAGCAGAACTTTTGTCTTGCCATCTTACTTTCATTTTAGTTTATTATATGTTTGAATCTGAAAGAGTAAATATAAGCTAATGTTTGTGAATTATTTCAAGAGTTCAATGTTTGGAAATGCTTTCAAAAATGATAGACCATTGCTTTCTTTTTTCTTTTTTTATAGCGTTAAAGTTTCATTTCTCCCAGCAACAGCATCAGCATAAGTTGTTTAGAATTGTGTTTGCTAATGTTAGTTTATGGCTGCTTTAGATTCTGTTGCTTTATTTTTACATGGCTGTTATCATTGCATACTGCTTAGAATTCAGATTGAAAAGTTTTCCACCTTGCATGTATATTTTCATGTAGAGAAATAATACAACTGTCCTTTTAATAAATTTTTCCTTCCATATTATTTTCTAAACGTGATATAAAGACCAAGAATTATGTTTAAAGAAATTTTACTTTTCTTGTACTTAAAAAATAAATAAATAAATAAATAATGTGTCTTAGTATGTCTTACTAATTTTTCATTTATTTAGTTATTCATTAATTTAAAACTATACTCACTGGGCAGAAAATGTGACTAAAATTTTTTTTTAATTTGTTGCCCTTTTGTTTGATTCATCAGATTCACCAGAAAGAGCTTAATTTTTTGTTTGTGGTTTAGGAAATTCAAAGGCTGTCATGTATTCTGTACTTCACTGTAATTTATTAGTCTCATGTGCTGAGGTATAAATGTAGATTTATTTCTTCAGTGCACCTCATTAATAGCCAAGTGGATATGGCTGTTCAGTGATAGCATTTGACCCAGGTCCCTATTCCGGTGAACAGACTAGCTGTTTGGTATGTGGTGTGAATATAAGCCAGTTTCCTGTAGAAAGTCCTCCACAAAGGTTAGCATTCCGTTAGGCAAATGGCTCTTGAAAGCTTTGCTGTAATTCATTAAGCAACACAACTGTTTCATAAATTACATCATTAATGTAGAATTTGTCATAATTTGATATCTCATTAATTCACAACTTCATATTTAGATTTTGTTTGCATTTATGTTAATACAATATTTTATGGGTATGAGGCATTTTTTACAGAAGGTGTAGTAAATAGCGTATCGTAATGTTTTATATTTTTTTAACCGTCTGATCTTGTAATAAATGTTAATAGCATTATGTCTTTTTAAGTCATGAACTTAGCATATTTAAATTGGAATTTTTTTTTTTTTTTTTTTTTTTGGGTAGACCTCATTGTATGTTGCACTCAGAATGTATTTCAAAGCTGATAATATGCTGTTTGCAGTGAATAAATTTTCTGAGTAAAAATATGAAGCAAAGATGTTTTCAGAAATTGCTTTTCATGGAATTGTATGAAATGTTAAATAGATTTGTATGTATATGTATACATCCGTATTGTATAGCATAAAAATGTATAAATTTTCTTGTATTTTTCATTACTTTTGTATCTGTTTACATATTTCACTTAATTTATAAAATAGATATCTTTGGTGTGCATCAATTGTAGGATTATATTCTTTACCCGTCTTCCATCACTTGAAACCAAAGCTCCATGGTACATCAGTGACACAAATTATTGGCAACTGTGCTGTGCTGTTAATTTTGAGCTCTGCTCTACCTGTATTAGCTCGTAGTTTAGGTATATATTACTATTTAAACTTTCTAGAAATCACTAACTTTTTCGTGTTGAGAACATACTATGAATATTTACTGAAAGAAAATGTAAATGAATTATAAATATTTAGGGCTTTATATATATCTGTAATATGAATATGAGTAACTTTTCTGCAGAAAGTTATCGCAGATAGTCTGTGAATGCTTTGCCATACTCATTTATGTAACCGTCAGTAATTTGCTTTATTGTTTTTTCTATTTATTTATCATAAAAATTATTTTAAGGTTAATAAAGTAAAATGAAAAAATAATATACTATAAATAACAAATTAATGTATACAGAATAATAGCAAATACGTTCTATACTGCTTAGTGAATTAGTGCTCAGTTTGATTTCTTCAATAGTGTGGAATAATTCTTTGTTATGTTTTTTTAATGTACCCTTAATTATTGATGTGGTTTACTTTTCCTTTATTGATTGCTTCCTTTCATCATTTCTAAATTTATTTATGAAATTTCCTGGACTAGGATTTTCAGGCTTTACATTCCTGTACATGGCTTTGTGACTTTTACATCTTCATTTCTGTGATAGTTTTGTAATACTATAGATCTTTGAAACTATTGTGGTAATCCGTATAGTGTAACTAAACAACACAAATATTTTTCAGTTGTTTGTATTGTGTTGATATGGTGTTTTTAAACGCAGAATTTATTTCATTGTAAACATATTGAAACAGTTTAGGAAGATAGTATAATTTCATTTAAAAAAAAGTAAGAAAAACTTTTTTTTGGGGGTGGTTAAGCATCTTGAAAGTATTTCATCCTGGTCTTGCATTTATAAAATGTAATACTTATTGACATGTGTATGATTTTTAAACAGGTTATTGAGCAGACTTCCAAGACATAAAGATATAAGTCTTTGTGAATTTAGTGGTTTGGGGGCATTGTGCATCCTACTATCTGTGAGCTGTCTCTACTGTAAAAACGAAAATAATTAATTCAAAGCAAAGAGATTACTTAAATAAGTAGTCAGCTTGTCTTAGCGTTTGTATATTCTGAGAATTTAACACGTCTCAGATGTGTCATTCTTAGTGTTGTTGCTTTTGACACATTATTCATTGACTTCATTTAAATTACATGCATGTATAAAAATCTCTATTAAATAACTTCAGAATTTTATTTGAATTTACTGTTACTGATCTTCATGTCTGCTCTGTTTATATCAATCGATGTATTATATTATTAACAAAGGTTGTCTTAAATTTTTTTTTGTCACTTGTGCTTTGTTGCTGTTTAAAAAATACTGTGAAAGTTATTTTAATTTAACTGCTTATATATTGCTTTAAAATGAGTGCATAAGAGAGCTAAATCAGTGTATTTTTCACTGTACATTTTAAATAAAAATCCTTTGTGTTGTTTTCTGAAAAACTACGTATAAATTTTATCAATGCTATAATTTAGAATTTTAAAGGATTACTAATTTATCAGTAATGCAAAAATAATTTTACTAAAGTTTAGAAATGCTGGAAGGAGTAGGACATGTTAAAAATAAAAGAAATGTTTAATATCTGAAATGATGTACCTATGGGCCATCTTGTAGATTTTATTACATAGTCAAATAGTTTAGTGATTGAATTTTAAGCTTTTCATATTTTCACCAATATAACTTTACTATTGTTCCATTATTTGTTTCCAAATAACTTTTGATAAGATGCTCTATTTCTTCATCTATACCTCCAATTTTTTTTTAAAAATATGGTCTATTGTATTTGAATATTGAGATTAAGAGACAATTTCAAGCCAAATATAGCACACTCACAGAAATATATTTGAAATGTTTAGGGTGATTGATGTAAATTAAGAGGCCTAGCAACAACCGAGTGGTAAAGCTACTGAACATTGGTAGTTCGGTCCGAGGCTAAAATCGGTGAATGGGTTGCTGTGTGGCCGTTTTCATAGTTTTCCCCATGTGTAACTTATATATGAACCAATTCTCCTAGAAACTCCTCCACGAAGGCATCCTTTCCTTTAGGCAGATAGCCCTTAAATGCTTTGCCATAATCAGTAAACTAAACGATGTAAGTTAAGACTAAAACACGGTGTTTAGGCTTATTTTTCAGGTTTTATCGATCCTACTGCACATGTGCAATTTTATGTGAATATTTCTCAGGTACCATATTTCACTTTTCTAGTCCTCCCTTTTTTTTGTCAGACAGTATTGTAATCCAAACTGAATATATAAAGAGTTGAATGCAGTACAATAGTTCCCCCCCCCCAAAGTTTGCTAAGAAGTTTTTCTTAGTTATAGAAAATTCTATGTGAAGTGGCCATAAAAATGGAACTGATTACTGTTCTCACAATTTCTGGAGAAAATAATGCCAATGTAGAAACTTATGTCATTTAATTGTGCAGAATATTAAATTAGCATATCACTGAAACCGTTTAATTTTCTAATAATGTACTACTGCAGGGTTAGCTTTGATGGATGACTGATTCCTTCATTGTTTTAAACCTACTTTTCTCCATTGAACCATTGTATGACTGTAATATGAGTCAAATGGACCAACTTTTAATTTTTTTTAGCAATTTCAACAGCTGTACTGTGTTTGGAATGAAAAATACCTAGTTTCTGATTTCAGTCATATTTTTATATCCGGGGTTACTCTCCATTAAACCATTGTATGACTGTAATAAGAGTCAAGTGGACCAACTTTTAATTTTTTTAGCAATTTCAACAGCTGTACTGTGTTTTAGAATGAAAAATACCTAGTTTCTGATTTCATTCATCATATTTTTATATCTAGGGTTCATACAGTACTTAAAAGTACGTAAAATTCCTGATGTTTCTTTGGAAATGATTTTTGATTCCTTAAAGACCTTACAGGCAAAATTACCAAAAGGCCGATAATTTTACTCTTCTGACATTTATCTTTTATGACTCATTTTGAGTGTGAATTTTTGGAGGAGTATCTTTCAGTGATGTATTAACAAATACATATTTCATGGGATATTATTAAATTGTATTCTACTTTTTATATAAATAGTGGATACTCAAGTTTTTGGGTGTGAGGCCCTGCCACAATTGAAAGATAAACATTTTGATGATAACACTTTTTTTTTTTGCAAGTGAAGAGAACATGTTACTTCATGTTCTGCAGAATAAAAGAACTCATTTGAGTTCTTTTATTCTGCAGCACTAAATCTGCTTATCAACATTTTGGCAATTTTAAGCTCAGTTTGTGTACATAATTTTTTTTCAGACATTCTTAATTTTTTTTAATAAACATAAATATCACAATTTAACATTGATAAATATCATAGAATAATGATAATACATTAAAATTATATTTAAGATTTACTGTTTAAATAAAATGTTTTTATTTTCTCTTGGCATATCTTAAAATGACATTACTTTCCAATTTGGTGACTGGAAAAAGATGGCTGAGTGATAAGCTTCGCAGAAGAAATTTTAAAAACTATTGATAAGCATTTGCTGCCATTTCTTCCAGCAGAAATTCATTTGCCTTTATTTCCATCAAGCTAGGCTTTGAGGGAAATCCCATTGGATTCAACGCTTCCAGTTTTGAGAGATGTTATAATACTTGAGTTAAAGAGAGCTTTGTTATAGACACATAGGTCCAGTCTGGGTCTAGAATGCATGAGCTGTGAAATGGTGAAGCATCTATCCTATAAATCATTGACTGTCTTCTTGCTTTTTACAGTCTGGTGTGGAAAGAGCATACATTTCCCATTCTCGTAGGGCTGTTATTCATGTAGCTAAGTCGTGGAAAGATCCTGAGAATCCCTCGAACAATCAGCCAATTGCACTTACGAATTGTGTACATAAGCTGTTTGAAAAAATGGTAAATGTAGTGTATTTTTTTGGAAAAGTATAATATAATATTGCCTAATCAAAGCAGTGTTCAGAAGGGAAGAACGACCATTGACAACATGCTTTTTTTTTTTCTTTTTTTCTTTTTTTTTTTTTTAAATATCCATTCTTAAAGCCTTTAAGAGAAGAAACTATCTTGTCTGACTTTTTTGACATCCAGAAAGTTTTTGAAAAGGCATGGAACTATATACTCATAATCTTTACAGCACGGGCTTGTGCGACAGCCTACCAGTTTTCATCCAGAATTTTTTTTTAATGCTAGAACTTTCAAAGTAGAGTGACCTTGTTTTGTAAGAAGTTTTTGATTAAGAACAGTGTGTGCCTGAAGGCTGTATGTTGAATGCTACTCTGTTCAGTTTAAAAGTAAACTCTGTATTAAAGGAATGCCTTTCCACAGTTTTAGGATCTTCATATATGGATGACCTACAAAATAGTTGTCATGAGGAGCTCTATCCAGGAACAGCCTGATGAACAGGAATTTAGTTTTTTGAAACAAAAAACTGCATGCATTTATGTAGAAAGCAAGGTCTCCTTCCTGACCCTGAATTACTTCTTAATGGATCAATGATTCTGGTTGCACTATAGCAAAGTTTTTTGGGGTGATATTCGATCGAAAATTGACTTTCCTTTCTCATATTTTAAAACTGAGAAAGAATTGTATGAAGATACAAAATATTTTTAAAGTCTGGCAAACACCTCCTGGGATGCAGAACACTGGTCCATGCTTCACATTAACTTGTCTGCTCTAGAGTGGATTATAGTTCAGTTGTTTATGCATCTGCTCAGTCTTCAGTTCTGTTGAAACTAGATTCTGTCTAGAAACTATATTCTTGTTGAAACTAGATGTCTCCCATCAACAGCCTATATGTTGATTCTTTTGAACTGTTAAGTTTTACTGTTCTTTTGAACCGTTTAACCCTACATTTAAGATGTACACAATTATCTCTTTATTGTTTTTGCTATTATGTTGCAATCTGCTCATCCTGTTGGGATATATAAGCGTGATGACAGTTGCAACCTTTTATTCGCTGCACAACTTCTTAATGTGTTTCCATTCTTCTTTGAAAGAACTGAATCATTGATTGAAAAATACTTCTTGTCTAATGTGAAGACCTAGTTACTTATTGAAATTCCACCCTGGGTAAACATGAAAATTTGTTTTATGTTTGTTTTCCACAACATTCATGTATACAGACAGTTTTTTCTTGAGCGTAGAAATGAGTACAGCAGTTTTATTCCCATATATTAAATTGGATCAAAGAGAGCTTGATCGTGTAGGAGCATTGTTTATGATTGGAAACCATACCAAGGTCAAATGACTGCATAATGCTTTTTTTTTTTCGTATTTAGTGCTGAATTAAGTGCTGTTTATTATCTTGCTCTCACTTTCATATTGAAGTTATGGTTTGAAATAGTTTGTAATTTACACTGACTTATCTAATGGTCTAAAAGCTTTTCTGATGTATTCTATGTTAATTGACATTAAAAAAATACATAAAAATTATAAACCCATGGCTGTTTATTGCTATGTCACCGGACACATTGATATACAAGAAACTGAACTCACATACAACAACAAAGTCTGCAATTGTTGTTTCAAATCAGCTTGTTTCTTATAGTGATATTAAACTCGTCATCAAACAGAGAGTGTTAAAGAAATGAGAATTATTGTGGGATAATCAGTTTCTTAGTATAATTAAAAGGTGCGAATTCTAAAGTGTAATATTGGGAGAGCACTAGAAACTGTAGGGAGGTAGTCTTGTTAATGCACCCAAAGTATTGGTCACTCCTGAGTTATACAGTTACTCTTTGAAAGCTGAGAGTGAACCTGTTTGTTTATATTGTGATTGTGTTTTTTAAGTGTGTCACTTTTTAATTGAATGTCTGTATTTTAAGAGTCTTAAAGAAGCATTTTAGTGACTGTGACTTGCCTGTTGACTATATAATGGAGTAAGAGACAAATAACAACTTATTTCAATACCTTAAATAGACTGGTTTTTATTATTTGATTTTGTTTTCATGTGGTGTCTTTATTTTAATACTATATATTGTTTCTGATTTTACTTCTGCTTTATACATGTCATTATTTGAGTTTTATGTAACTGTTCTTTTCAACGTTTATCATTTTATCACTTGTGATTTTATGCTGTTGTTTTAAACTTATGTTTATCTAATAAGTGTGCTTTTTCCTAGTCTGACATGTATTCGGAATAATCCTGAGGTTTTTCTCTAGAAAATCCGCTACTACCACTACCATAATGGTGACTTGGGAATATTTTGATTTTGAAAAATAAACAAGATAATAAATGTTACAAAGCACAGTTTCTGGAACAGTTGTTAGAAATACAAAAAAGCTACTGTAATTGTTTTAAATTAATAACTTGCTGTCTTTTATGGTTTTTCATGATAAGAGCTTCTCCCTACTTAATTGTTTCAGAATATTCAAGAGTGTATCAGTTTTCTCAAAAAATTCCTTTACACTTTTCTTTTCTGAATCCCCTCCCAAATCTTTTTTTTTTTTTTTCCCCCTCTTGCAGATTTGGTAGGGCTATTGGAATCGCAAATATTAGTAGTATGGTTTTAAATTCAGAAAATTTCGTCATCCAGGCTTTGTGTCACATTTTAATGTCACATAATGGTGATTCGGGGGGGGGGGGACCCTTTCTTTTTACAAAATTCCTTTTTATTAAAAAACATTAATATAGAATATATTTGTTTGTAATTTCTTTGTGACATCTTACTGGATTTAAAACTGATGATCTGAAACCTAGAATCACATCAGTCCCAGATGGTTCTGGATCTTAGACTTTGTGCTGTATATGATGTGAATCCGTAAATTCATTTCATACTTTTCATAGTAAGCTAAAATTCAGTTTTACTGGAAAGTTTTCAACCCACTGAACTGAATTTTTGATGAATCAGTTGGGATGATTTACTTTGGAAATATTAAGAGTAAGGCAAATCAACTGTTGAATGCATCATAATTACAGTAATTATTTGTGTATCATTATCAAGGAAGCCCCATGTAGTAAAATTGTAGATGAATTTTTTGTAAAGATATTTAATCTCGAGTTTTCGTTAAATAGTATGATAAATTATTTTTTCCTGTTTGACAGTTATTTTATGGGTTTTAAATAAAAGCATATTTTATAAAAGCTTTTCTTTTCTTAACTTTAATTTCATCTGGGAGATGAGGATCATAGTAAACAGTCTGGCTAAAAGGATCAATTGCAAGATAACTTGTTGTTGCTGAACTTGCATTTTATGTACAGCTATGATTTAATTACTGATGAATTTACAGGCACATTACTGATTCTGCTGTAGCAAGATGACAGATCAAGGCATGTCTGAGTAGGATTCAGCTCTTGATTACCATAAGGAACTTTCTGTCATATATTTCAACTGTAAAACAACTTGAAAAACTTTTTTTAAAAGGGGGGGGGGAAAGACATCCCATATCTTTTTGGTGATTACCTTGTATTGTAATTAAGATTTTAACTAATATGTTATGATAAAAATTAAATAGGCTTTTGAGAATCAATCCTGAAAATTACCATGGCATTCAGAATATTAAAAATTACAGTGAAAATGTATTGTTTATCCTTCTTTTATGCTGTCTTTTTTGCAGAACCTAACAGATTGCAGCACATTTGAGAGCTACCATATGTCCTTAAGAACTATGGGTTTAGTTCTATCATAAAAACTTTTCCATTTAAAACTTTTATTTTCGTTTTCCAACCAACAGTACTTTTTTATGCTCCTAACATTTTTTACTACTACAATAAGCCTAAAGCCATAAAGAAGAGTGACACAAGTAGCAAGTAAATAGCAAAAGGCATACATGCATGTAGCAGACTGAATAGTCAAGGTCCCTTATAAGTGCTTTATTCTGCAAAGTCAAATGTGCTGTAGAAGACTATGAATTTCATGAGAAGTTGCTTTTACACGACTCAGCAAAATACAGGGTGACCATGTGAAAAAAATGCAAAAGTAATAAACAGTGGGATTGATAGTGGCACAACAGTGGGATCGACAAGGTACAGAGTTTCAAATTTTATCTCCCGTGTTAATCCTGTTGGGGGAAATTTTTAAAACAGGGGAATATCTTGCATTGTCAGACTAAATAAGCCACTTCAGATTAAATTTAATGTGCATACTCACTCCGAGGTAAGTGACAAATAAAATAAAAAAAAAAAAATTTAATTTGTTCTTGCGGTTGGAGAGATGTCAAGTCACAAACATTTCTCCCATATTATTCATACTAAGCATTTAGTGGCATTACATTTTGCAAAACCTTTTTGATTGACTGTATAGAATTGTTTCTTTGTTGTAATAAAGTATGTGTTTCTTTGTTGTATGGAAGTAATCGAGCTGCTACCTTTAATTTAAAGTTGCTGATATTATATGTTTTGAAACTGTTGTATGATGAATGGAATGCTTTTTGAGAAATTCCTCATCCCAGATCTTCTCTCATTGTAGCAGTATTAAAACTTTTAATGTAGTATTATGAACTAAATTAACACAACTCTAAACATTGTTTAAAATAATTAATATGAATGGTAAATAATTATTTAAAATAATAGGAATGATAAATAATTATATAAAGTAATGAATATGAATGATAAATGAAGTTTTTTTATGAGTAACCCTTTTACTGATGTTTGTTTATATAATGGTCTACTGCAAAATTCTGTCTGATGATGGTATTTCAAGTTTTAACATACATAGAAGTGTTCCTTTGGGTATATAGTTGTCTCTCTTTATCACTGCATTGTAAACATCTGCTTTTCTAAATTCACTGAAACAAAAGTGTCTCATGCTTTATTGAGATGTGTTATCATGTAAACATGTCAACCAATAACATTTATATATGACATATAATTTTGTAAGAATCCTAACAAGGAAGAAATGCTACAGAAGCATGTTGAAATTTAATAAGAGTTTTTGGTGAAGATGCAGTTTCAGATGGAATGTGCAGGATGGTTTGAAAATTTTGAAGCAGGTGATTTCAACCTTAATGATAAGCCTCACTCTGGATGGCCATCTTTGATTGATGATATTGTCAAGATCTTGATAGAGCAAGATCCTTTTTTGACAACACTGGAAATTGCGAAAAAGCTCAACAAACAATTTTGGCCATATTCGGTAAGTAGAATTGGGCTAAATATTCCAGATGGATGCCTAATGAGTCAAGTGAGAAAAATTTGAAAAATCATATGAATAAAAATGAACCCTATTTGGACCAGATGATAACTGGGGATGAAAAGTGGTTTACCTACAAAAGGAAAATTAGGAAATAAATTGTTAGGAAAATGCTGTGAGCCCCTGCTTCCTTCACCTCTAAACTGAGTTCGAGCATAAATAAGAGAATGCTGTGTATATGGTGGGATGTCCATAGGATCAATATATTACAAGTTTTTGAAACCCAAAGGAAAGCTCTGTTTGGGGAAAATTTCGATTAAGTCAAAGAAAAGAGGCATGCCATATTCAATAAGAAGTATATCTTACTGCATCATCATAATGCCCGACTATATGCAGCTTTGGTTACTCAACAGAAAATCGCAAAGGTAGGCTGGGATTTTCTGCCATATACACCATACTTCCCACACATTACTAATACCTTCTGTATAACACTTGTTTCTCTCCTGGCAAAAATTTTTGAGGGGGTGAACCACCACAAATTACTATTCAGACCAACAAATGAATTACCAAAATGCTACAAATTAGTATCATGTAGGCAAGAGGTCGTAGGTAACAACAAAAATTATATTGTACATAAATATTAGGTACCAAAAAATGTATTATGTTCTTTCACTTCCCAAACAGACATAATTTTCCACTAGACCTTATATATTATCTGTGTGATGTGTTTTACATATTATTTATGCATGTATGCTTCCATGGCTGTTCTTTTCATTCATTCTGGCATTTTGTTAATTTTATGGCAGGTATTACCAATTTTGATCTTCTTGGAGATTTTGGTCGAATCAACTGGCTGGGAAGTTTTTACATTGTTTTATTCCATAATATAGTTTTTGCTGTCACTACTGTCCTGTGTCTTGGAACCAAGGTAACTGCTGGTGTACGTCGTGAGTTATACAATAGATTATGTTCAATAACCTGGAACCCTTTTTTATGGCTTTTATATGGATTAATTTCCATGTGATCTTTTAAATGAAGAATGTTGTTATATTTCATTTTGTATGCATTATTTCTTATTTTTTTTAGACACTGTTGTGCTGTGTTTGTAGCAATTATTACATATCTGGAATATGCTGTAACTGTGATATAATATTTAAAGTAACTTATTTGTATGCAAGTTCAAATGTGTATTTATGTAATTGCTTTATTTTTAAAGTGTTATAGTTCATAGTGATTTCATTTCCTGCATTGTAGAAACAAATAGAATATGATGAGTGCTCTATGACAATGAATATCAAAAATATTTCTAATATGAATATAAAATCCACACCCCAAATTTTTTTTAATGAATCTTTTAGAAAAATAATGTGTGATAATTTTGAGAAGTTTAATATCTAACTTAAAACTTTTATAAAAAAAATTCTATTTCTCTTGCTGGTAGGAATTTAATTGCACAAAGCATTTAAGATTGAGTATGTAAGTTTAAGGTGTAACTGGATGCAGATTTTAGAATGAAACTAACTCCCCCCTGGTTGCGAGTTATTCATTACTGTAAAAGCCAGTAATGAATCAGTAATGAATAACTCGCAACTAGGGGGGAGCTTTGATGAATGATGGAAATACTAGAGTATTTTTGATTATTTTATAAACTCTTGTTTTTTGAATGAAAATACATTAATAGGGCTATACATGTGTATGCTTTGATCCTACATAGAACTGTCAAAGATTTTTTTGTCATAGTTAATTAGTAAATGAGGAAAGTTTATTGTTTAACCAATTGTTGCCAAGTATAGAACTGCTTTTGGGAGAATTATATAATTTTTTTAATTGTATGATTTTGTACCTAATCTAGGCTTTCAAAAAGTGACAGTTGTATATTTTCTTTAAATTCTGACTTTTGCATTAATTCAGTTTGGAAAAAAGAATATAAAATACCAGTTTAGAAATGATAATGCGAAAGCTGTAACAAGACATTTTAAAGCTTTTGTTTAAATATAATATTTTGAATTTATTTAAGAGCATGTAACATTTAATTTTCAGCAAACTAAGCATCCTTTAATTAACCAGAACATTTATGAAATGGTTCAGAAGGTGTATGATAAAGAGAAAAAACACATTAAGTACTGTCTTAAGATTCAGCTTTTGCATAATGCATGTCAAAATTATTCAGCATATTTATCTCGAATTATAACTTGTCCATAACTTACAAGCATAACTGAAATGTACAGATACTGTGTGGAATAAATGTATGTTATAATACTTAAGTTTTTGAATGAACTGGATGTGTATGTATGTATATGCATTACATAAATGTGAAAACTGACTGTACATCTGTATTTAGCAGTGGATGAGTCAAATCCTGTAGATTTTAGCATTTCGACGATAATTTTTCATAAATTTCAAGACATTATATGATTTACAAGCATAACATGAAAGTCGGTAAGTATATGTTGCAGACTGCTGTGGGGTAATAAGAAATAACTATGAATAATTTTAAAAAGTGTTATAGGGTAGCAGTGGGATTAAACTTTGCACTGACCCAGTGAGCAATGCCAAGAAGATCCACAAGTGTGGCCTGCATTGAACCTTGTCATACTTTCCAAGTCTTTCTTGAGATGACCATGCCACATAGGGTCTGTCATTACTGCGATGAAACAATATGCTGCAACTCGGTAGGCCTGTGATTTTTGGTAAATTGATTGGATGTTGCCCAAAACTTCAGCATTATATTACAGTATGATGCAGCAGTCGTAGCCACGTCTTCTGAAAATGGCTTCACAGCACAAAAAGCACACCACATCCAATTGACATGCCTTAATGATCAGTAGCATTGCTCACTGAGTTGGTATAAAGGTTAATAGTATTGCAAGGACTAATCACAAGTATATGATCAGTAGCATTGCTCACTGAGTTGGTATAAAGTTTAATAGTATTGGAAGGACTAATCACGAGTATTTCTTATTCAACAACAGTTTGCAACCTATTTATTGACTTGACCTCATTATTTTTTTAGTGTGTATTTAGGGTAATTTTTTGATTAAATTGTGTAAAAATTGCAAATTCTTGTGAAGATGTCTGTCTGTGAATAATCTCCTTTTCTCCGTATTCTATTTTTTCTGTTTCTTGATTTGTATTTACTAACTTCCAAAACTTCTGTTATTTTTCAATTAGTGTCTATGCAAGTAATAAGAATTTAAGGTCAATATCTTTTTTTTAATTATTTTTTATTTTTTTATTTTTTATGTTTGTCTTTTCTTTAAGTTATGCAATGTTTTCAAAAGATCAGTTTCTCCTGCATAAAAATTTTAATCTCTTCATACTTTAGTTTACATTATTAAAATTGAGTATTGTTTTGCTCTTGAATGGTAAATTACCTTAGCAATAGCTTCCAGATGTTATGTTGTATTTTTGGAAATTTATAATAATAGGTTGAGCCATTTCTTGGGTTATTTTATGTTTATATTGGACAATTTTGAATTCTCTCTTCATTGTAATTTCTATGCCATAAAATCGTTTTTCTTTCAAAGCAAATAATATTCAAAATTATATAAAAAAATTATCAGAAATGCATAAACTTGATTTAATTACGCAGTAGTTGTTTCACAGTGCTTCATTTTAATCCAAGTTACTTCCTCTTATGTATTTAAATTACTTACCTGTTTAAATACCAAAAGCATTCATACGGCCATCAGTAGAAACCAAGACCAAGCCTTGAAGGTTGGTCTGATAGGATTTCCTTTTATGAGCATTGTCGTAAAATTTCTTTTTCTGTCGGGTATATTTGCTGAGGTTAAGCTTAAAAAATCAGATTATAAAAATGATTTATTCAGCACCATGCTGATTGGTATCATTTTATATAAACTGTGAATTTTTTTTATGCTGAGATTTATATATGTTAAAAATCTTCCCTCTAGCAAAGCATGTTTATTATTTTATGTTATATTTATTTTAACTGCATTGCCAAGGAGTTGATTTTAAAAGTTAAGAAGCTTTAAGTAACAAACAGTATTTCAAAGACATATTGTTTGAAGTACTCATTCCACTTCCCCAGGGAGCTTGCAGTAAGTAAAGTTAGTTCTTTGGATGATATGTGTTATCATAATTGAACTTTAATGTAATATTTTTTAAGTGGAGTGAAAGATTTTTTTTTTGGGGGGGGGAGGGGTAGCAGACGTTCTTTTCTGGTTGCATTTAGTCCGTGTGTCTAGGGTTGATATGTCAAATGAATAAATTCTGAGTTTCACAGTGATTAATGAATATTTTCGTCTGTCAATAAATAGTTTTTAAAGGAAATTATTTCTATTTCAGTTTCTTAAGTATATGATGTAATTTTATGTGTAGTAGAAAAGTACTAGATATTGACACATGGGAGAAATATATTAATTTCCATATTAGTTCATCTAAAAGTGAAATAGGACACATAAAAAGTTTATGCAGAGTTACTGAGAGAGGAGTGTAAAAGTAGAGTATAAAAGAGGGTTTATAATCTTTTAGGCTTTTAACAGTAGTGCCCGGCTATAGTGAAGATTCAGGTTTTTTCTTTTTTCTTTTTGAGTGAAAACACTATATGGCTATCTAGTCAAGCAAATATTTATTTATTATTGAAGTTCTTATTTGAATTAACTTTATTTTTCCAAATATTTTATTATTTATATATTTATTTATTTATTGGTTGATGGTAAAATGTGAGTCACTCAATTCGAAATATAGAATTCTATTGTTAAACATTTGATACTCAGAACATTGTTTCATTTTATATCTCCTCAGTCTTGTGCTGTTAAATGGCCAGTGTTATACTAAAAATGAAGTCTTGTATAAATTAATTGTATAACAATTTAAAATTATGCAAAGGTATTATGCTATGTGCCAAAGTTTCATAATATAAAGAACAAATGAATGTTGTGATAACATAGGCAACTATTACATTAGCTGAAGAAGAAAAGCTTTGTTGTAATTACAAACTTTTGATACTTTATTTGGGATTTTTTTATCTTTTAATTAGAAACAATATCAGTATTATGACCATTTTTAGTAGAAAATTTTATATATTTGAATATATATTATCAGGAAGCAAGAGTTAAGAGAGAAAGTGGTAGTGGTGATAGAATATACAAATATGAATAGTATCTGTAAAATAAAAAGATACAGCAATTTTTTACTTTTGTTTACTGCACATGTTAAAACTTAGAGAAGCTGCAAAATGTACATTCATTCAACATATTCTATTTGTTTTCCATCTATTGAATTTTATATTTTTTAACATATCATGTAAAGAATTACATTCCATGTTATATTTCACTCAAATACGTATACAGTTGCAAAAGAGCTTTTAACCTTCCAAAGTACAATTATCATGGTTTTTTAGTGAATATATTTCAGAATACTAATTGGAATTAATTCCATAAAGCTGAAGTTTCATCTGTATATATTTACATTTGTCATTCAAAGTTCACAACACCATGCTGTGTAAGTGCTTTATGTACAGATTCGCTGAAATAATGTTCCTCTTGAAGTTTTTTTTTTTTTCCAAAGCATTTTATGTGTTTGATTTTTGTACTAAAGTACCATTTTTGTATTCATTTACATTAAGTTTTTAAACATCTTTTCAAAATTTCCCCCATTTTACTCAATAAGCAATTATGTCCAAATTGTGTGTGTGTTCTTCCCTTATTTTAAACACCAGTTTACACAATGTAGAAATAAAAAGTACTTTAATAAACCAGATTAGATACTTAATACTTTGTATGCCAACACATTCTCTACCATCCTGAAGTAAAGATTGTTTGAAATTAGGGTTTCTTTCCCTGGCAAAAATTACTCAAATTTGTGCTCGGGTTATCCATTCAAACTAAATAAAAGAATTTTTTAAGTGGCTGATTTTCCAATATACTATTTGACTAACAAGCAAGGAAGGCATTTGATCTAAGCAATAAATTTATGTACTTTGTGAAGAAATGTATGTTTATTATGTCAAAGATCTTGAAAAACAAAATTTATGGTAGTAAATAATTTTCTCTTCATGCATGCATTTTAGCTTGCCTAAAATGTATAATTTTTAATGAAACAGAATTTGAGGCAGTTAGCAAATTTCAAGACACTCTTTGACATAATCTAATACATAGCATCATAGTTTGTTATTCTTTGCATTAATAAAGAGCTTGCCAATATATAGGTGTAATTTCGCACATTATCTCTAATTGGCTATGCCAACATACTGAGATACTGACTAAAGGATACTGTAATTGGCCCAAAATTGTTATTTTTGATGCTGATAAATTTTATGTACATAATGATTTTCAAAATTTAAGGTAATTATGCCATGTGATTTTTTATGCTATTCTTAAAAATGTATTTATAATGTTTATATTTTATGTTTGTGAAAGAGTTTGTTTATTCTTGATTACACTATATTTTCCAGTCTGCTATATTAAGTTTTATATGATGTATATTTAAAATGTTGATTGTGATAAGAATTTTGGATATATGTATGATATAAATAATGTGTGTTTATAAATTGGATATATTTCCAGGGCATCTTGCTAAGGCTTTAGAAAAATTCCTTCTAAAGCCACTATTTTCAACAACATATTCTAACTTGCAAAAGCTTAAGAATGACTATGTATTTTCTGGTTGTAATTTCAATGTTTATTTAAAACAATTTTTCACACAAGGTTTGTTTATGCATAAGGTTATATCTTTGTTAACAAGTCATGACATTTTAGTTTCATTAAAGTGAACTTTTGAGCTTATCATGACATAAAATTAAAATGCATTAACTACTGTGTACTGTTTTTTTGGTGTAAAATGTCATATTTTATACACTTTTTGTTAACATTTTTGTAATACAACTATTTGTGTAATGTCATATGAAAGACAGAAATAAACTTTTTTTATACCGAGTGCTTTAATGACATTCATTACAAAATAAATGTTTTGTGAATTTATAAATACGGATTTGACCATGCATTTTATGTGGGGAGAAGAGCAGATTCGCTTTATTAACTTTTTTTTTTTAGTGTGACAAAATCTCCAAATTACTGACAAACTCGCATAACATTCCATAGTAACAGACTTTCAGTGTTCCCCAAAAGGGTAATTTATTTAATAACTTGTAATTTTTTCCATGCATGTACTAAAACTGCATGGTGTCAGCAATTCATTACAACAGCTCTTTATGAATGTTTATGTTTATTGTTAATTAACTTAGCCTCATTGTTTATATGGGAGCCTATCCATAGCATATTTCCCTTAATTTTTCTGTTAGATTTTACATTGATATTAATGCAACCTTAGCTGACACTGTGGTAGAACTTGTAGGCATGTTAGCTAATAAGCTTAATGCATGTAGAGGGTATTTACTGCATGGGTAAGATTCATCCACATTATTTCATATAGAAATTTGTGTGATTGTTACATGCATTTGTGCTAATAATTGCATTATTATCATAAGGGCACAGCCCCGATATTCCTAGCTGGCACAAGCTGGCCGTATGATAAAAAAATTGGACTGGCCAGAAAAAATGAATTAAAAAAAAAGTCCAAAATCTGAGTTTCATTGCCGGTTTCCAATTCTATCCTTATTCGTATTTATAATTTTCATTATTGTCTCTACAAAATCTTTCAAATTTGAATAGCTTTGAGATGTACAAAAGACCATAATATATTGCAGTTAGTTCAGATATTAAGACTCAGAAAAAGCATTGTGCAAACGTCTATCCTCTATGTGATCTTCAATTAGAAATGCCATCCCAACATGAACATTTGACTTGGATCCATCTGTATATACTAACTATTATATTTATGTCTGTCAGCAAAGAGTTGCCTGTAAACGATGTCATTAGTGCTTGCCTTCACGTGACGGTCGAAAATATCAAGGAGCTGGATCCGTGCATTTTCCCAAGGTGGAATTTCAAAAGTCTGCACTGCTTGGGGCACATATCAGAGAGGGAGAGTTTTTCAATGTCAGGACGAACTCTTAAAGGAAAGATAAGCACAAAGGATGGACTTGTTTCAAATAAAGTGTTACACGCATTATCAAGTAAGCACAGCTTATTAGGATGTTCAGGTTGCAATAAAATATTAAAATACAACAAAAGGGACAACTGCTCACACCTCAGATGAAGTGACGGTTCATTAGAGTCAACATAAAGGCTTTGGACAGGAGATGTCCTGAAAGTTCCAGAACAAATCTGCAGAGCTTGAGGGTGCACAGGATCTAGTTTTAACAACACTGAAGACCGAGCAGATCCGTAAACAACTGAGCCTTAGTCCAGTAAACGGTGGACAAGTGCTCTGTAAATGCAAAGCATAGAGCAACGCTCTGCACCCCAGCAGGAGTTCGCCAAGACTTTTAAAATATTTAGTGTTTTTAAACACTTCTTTCTCAGGTTTAAGACATGAGAAAGGAAATTCGATTTTCGTTCGGACGTCACTCCTAAAATTTTACGTCAGGCGCAACTGGAATAATTGTGCCATTCAGATATAACTCAGGCTCAAGATGGAGACCTTGCTTCCTACAAAAGTGCATGCACAAAGTCTTCCGTTTCGAAAATGTAAATCCCTGTTTGTCTGACCATTCTTGGAGCTTATTCAAAGCGATCTGCAATTGCCTCTCTACATATCTTATATCTGTCCCTCGACAGCTAATCTGTAGATCATCAACATATAAATATCCCAAGATGGTGAGAGGAAGTTTTTTTTAATACATAGTTTATTTTTAAGCTGGAGACGGTTACGCTAAGCCCACAGCCTTGAATCACACCCTCTTCCTGTTCAAAAACATCCGACAAAAGAGAGTCAATCTTGACTTGAAAAGTTCTAGTGTTCAAGAAATTCTGAATGAAAATTAGCAGGTTGCCGCGCAAGTTGCTGTCGTGAAGATTTCGAAGTATACCATATCTCCATGCCGTATCATAAGTTTTCTCAAAGTCAAATAATACTGAGAGAAGGTGATTTCTTCTTACAAAAGCTTTTCGAATGGATGTCTCTAAAAGGAGCATATTATTAATGTTTGTTCTCCCCTTTCGAAAACTACTTTGATAAGGCGATAAGAAGTAGACTTAGGCGGCTGTTTGCCATTTTTTCAAACAGCTTGCATACGCAACTCCTAAGGGCAATTAGAGAATAGAATGATTCCTTCGATCTTTCCCTAGCTCAGCAATAGGAATTACAACAGCTCTCCTCCATGCACTGGGAAAAGTCTGCTCCTTCTTGTAAAGAGTGAGAAGGGCAGTCAGTGAGTGACTTAAAGGACAGATACTTCAGCATTTCGTAATTCATGCCATCAAGATCCGGAGAAGACATATGTCTGCAACAAAGCTTTCCTTAATTCAAGTACAGCCAAGCCTCTATTATAAGGCTCAGATATGGAAGAGTTGAATGCGATGGGATTTCATTCAGAGCGCTGCTTTATAGAGAGAAACGCAGGTGAATAGTCTCTGCTGGAAGAAAAGGCAGCAAATAACTCACTAATACTAGAGCTGCAATTGCCTCTCTACATATCTCATGTCTGCCCCTCAACAGCTAATCTGTAAGTCATCAACATATAGAGATCCCAAGATCGTGGGAAGAAGTTCTTTCAATACAGAATTTATTTTCAGGCTGAACAAAATTACACTAAGCACACAGCCTTGAGGCATACCCTCTTCCTGTTTGAAAATATCCTACAAAACAGAGCCAATCATTACTCGAAAAATTCTAGGGTTCAAGAAATTCTGAATGAAAATTGGTTGATTGCCGCGCAAGCGACTATCGTGAAGATCCCAAAGTATACCGTATCTCCAAGCCTTATCAGAAGGTTTCTCAATGTCAAAGAATACTGAGACAAGGTGACTTCTTACAGAAGCTTTTCAAATGGATGTCTCTAAAAGGAACATATTATCGACGGTTGTTCTACTTTTTCGAAAATTGGTTTGATGAGGAGATATAATGTTATTCTTTTACAAGAAATAGACTACTCGGCTGTTTACCATTTTTTCAAACACCTTGCGTAAGCAACTCGAAGGGCAATTCGCCGATAGTTGGAGGGATTCCCTTGGATCTTTGCCTGGCTTAGCAATAGGAATTACAACAGCTCTCCTCCATGCACTGGGAAACGTATGCTCCTTCCAAACTCTATTTTAAAGAGTGAGAAGTGCAGTCAGTGATTTATAGAACAGATGCTTCAGCATTTCGTAATTTATGCCATCAAGATTTGGAGCAGACCTACGTGCCTGCAGCAAAGCTCTCCTTCAAGGATAGTAAAGTCCCTATTATAAGGCTCAGATTTGGAAGAGTTGAAAGCGATGGGATATCTTTCAGAGTGCTGTTTGATAGAGAGAAATGCGGGTGAATAGTTTCTGCTGGAAGAAACTGCAGCAAATGTCTCACCAATAGTATTCGCAATTTCTTCTATGGATTAATCTCTCGGTCATCGTTTTCCAAAAATAAAGTGAGTGGTCTTTGTATATTCCGCATGCTTTTCTAACATATTTTCAGAGTGCTGTTTGATAGAGAGAAATGCGGGTGAATAGTTTCTGCTGGAAGAAACTGCAGCAAATGTCTCACCAATAGTATTCGCAATTTCTTCTATGGATTAATCTCTCGGTCATCGTTTTCCAAAAATAAAGTGAGTGGTCTTTGTATATTCCGCATGCTTTTCTAACTCTTTCCCAAACCCGCTTACTAGGCATAGAGGATGTTATTGATGACACAATATGAAATCCAGTAATCTCTCTGGCTCTGCCTTCTTACTTTTCGTGCATTTGCTTTGGCTGTTTTAAATGACATAATGTTTCACATAGTAGGGTATATACGAAAAATTCCCCATGCTTTTTTTTTTTTTTTGTTGTTTGTTTTTTCAGTGCTTCGTGACAGTCGCGATTCCACCATGGTTTCGAATACCATAGCATTTTCCCTGATGTTTTAGGAAGGGAGAATGTAGCTGCCTGAATTAATAGCATTAGTAACCTATTCGACTGCATAATCGATCTGCACATCTTTTACCATTTTCTCTGTGAGCTCTGCAACGGATGAGAATTCTCAGTCAACCCTATCCAGTACAAAGCGAGGGGATCTCGACATGGGGTTTGCTCCTCCTCGTACAAGAGTTACAAAAATGGGATAATGATCGCTGTTATAAAGATCATTCCCAACACTAAAAGCGCAATATGGCAACAGAGATGGTGAACAGATGGCAAGATCGACAGCGTGAAATTTCCTTGTAGGTTCATGGAAGTATGTGTCCTGCCCATTATTCAGGAGACAAAGGCAATAATCTTGGATCATCTGCTCAATTTGTCTTCCTTGAGAAATGGTGTCTTTACTTCAGCAGACTGTTAAAATCCCCTGTTATGATAAAGGGCTCAGGCAGCTGCTGTATGAGGTCACTTAAATGCTGTTGATAAACGTGCTCATTTGGAGGCAAGTAAAGAGAAACGACTGAAACCACAAAATGAAAATTTACCCGTATAGCGACAACTTAGAGGGATGTTGTCAAAGGAAGTGTATCTGATGGATAGTCAAGTGAGGTGAAACCTACACTTCCACTGGCACGTTCAATGCAAGATTGTCTTTCCTGAAAAAACGAAAACCTCCGAAGTTTTGCTTCTTGTTTCGGTTTCAAATTTGTTTCCTGTATCGCCAAGCACACAAGGTAATGAGCATTGATTACTCTTTTGATGTCAGACACATTTCGGTGGATGCCGCGACAGTTCCATGAGACCAGGGTAGTCATTATGATTTATGTTTGTTCTTTCTGTGCTGCGTTTTTGTTTTTCGTGGAAGTAGATACTTGGGAACGTCTAGCCCCTCTTCTACTTCCATACTTTCTGAATCTAAAGATTCAGATACTATATCATCAAATGAACTATTACTAAAGCTTCTATTTTTGGTTACTATTTTTGGAGGCACATTTTTGGGTT